CTCAGACATGTCAATGTTAAGCAATCAAAATGGGAGAATTTTAAATTCTACCAAGAAAGCAGAATATTTAGTAATTGGACAGGGAGAACTCTGGGAAATAGTGACGTGAGGGTCCCCATGGCCTCTGTCCCTGATGACCCAGTTATTATTTGATTTATGTGGACTTGCAGCTGCCCTTGCTTCGACCCCAGAAAAGGCTGTGTGGGAAGTTTGTGTCTCAGAGCTGTAGCATTGCTCTGCGGAGTGTCTGGAGCCTAGTGTATGCACAGAAACTGATAAATAGGGAAAAGGCCCAGTTTGCTCCAGCTGGACTCAGAGCTAGGATCAGTGCTACAGCCCAGCGGACTCAACTCTGGAAGCAAGAAACTCTCTGGAACTACCGTAAGTATTTCATTTACTTCTCTGAATGCTCTGGGATTATAAATTGTTGCTTTAGCCATAAATCAATTTGCCATGTGAAAATATTTCAGGCATTAGGCTTTTTTATTCTTTTTCCTTTTTTTTTTTCTTTCTTTTTAAATGGCTGACTAAATGAAAATAGAAAACATACATTTTTAAATTTGGTATCCTACTGCCAAGAATTTGTTCCGACAGTACTTCATTTGACATACAGAGTGAAGTAAAATGACTTTTAAATTCAATTATTTGTTTCCCTTCCCCAAAGTATCTGGAAAACTGTACGTTTCAAACAACCTCTAACCTCTTATTTTACAATGTATAAAAATTATACCTTTGAAACAATTATTCATGGGGTAACAATTCCAAAGGAAGGTTTCAAGATAATTGCAACACAGTCCATTAGTGAAATAAGCCAATTCCTATTATGGTTATTATATGACAAGGAAGGAACACATTTAATGAGAAGGGGGATTTCTTCAAACAGCAGCTTTGGGGAGCTTCTTGGCACATTAAAACTGGGAGAAACAGATAAAACCTTAATAATGCATATAAGCTGCATATAGCATCAATCAAGTGATCCTACAACTTCCCCTGCAAAATCATTCTTCAATTACAGTAATCAGTCTTTACTGAATTGCTTGAGTGAAACTCATTATATATCACCTGGCATCGTATATAGTTGCCACCAATTGTGCTCAGTTAAACTTTTTTTCAGGTTTTGGTTTAAATTTCACAAATTAAAAAATTAAGCTGTGCTTTCCAGAAGCAAAAAAAGTACAGTGATTAACACTGAGATTGAAATGTGCTATCTAGTTCCACTACATGATCATTAACATGCCACAAGGTGTGTTAAATAAATGTTGAAGACCTTCAGCTTGAGTTCCTAAAATTCCCTGTAAACAAGAAATTTCCCTATGACTCAACTGTCAAAATATTTACGATAGCAGTTAAAGTACTGTCAATACATACCTCTTAAAGAGCTCTCTGGAGCCTCTTCTACAAGAAGTATGTTTTGCATCTTAATAAATTTAATAATATAAGTTGATCATATGTTACTTTATGATATGGTATTTTATAGCAATAAAAATGATAAAAACAACAACTTTCACCACCAATAGCAATACATAGATGTACAGTATGTATTCTAGTCTGAACATGTACATTCTGTTAAGTGACTGGTTTCTTTTTCTACTTTACTATTATCAATTAACGGCTTTTTTTTTTTTCCCTTAATGTCTCCCATCTTTGATAAATTGAAAAGTCTTTCAGTTAGGACTAATAACTGAATGTTGCTGAATTTCTGTATTAGACGGATAACCAACCCCTTGAATCAACATACATTCCAGTTTATATTGAACGTTATTAGTTCAGAAGACTGATTACTGTCAAAACTAAGGCTGTAGAAGTACAACTTTTTCAAACGTGCTTAAGCAACATAGAGTCTAGGTCACATCTTCTTCTGAAAAAAAAAAATTCTCCTGCTTGTAGAGGCTTTTAAAATTAAAACCAAACAAACACACACCCCCTCCCAAATGGTCACAATTTCACATGTGAAAATACCCAGCAGAAATAGCACCTCAGAAGTAACTGAGAAGAAGGAAAAGCAGGGAACAGCATGTGCATTTATGCAGACGACATTTTCTTTCAGGTCAGTATGTCTGACTAAGGACTAAAGACTTTCATCCTAACTGTGTTACCGCTTGTGATTCTATGAAACAAGTTATTGAAAAATTCATCTTCTTTTGTTTTCAGTTATTTCCACTTTTTAGGCTAAAGACCGTTATGCATCATCTCTGGGAATATATTTCTTTTTTTTTGCTTCCTTTTTAAAGCACACATACACAAAACGTATGGCTATATTTTGAGTACAGAGAAAAGAGAAAAATGGGCACAAAATATTTTCGTTTGGGAATGGCATGACTAAAACTGCCCCAAACACCCAAAGCTCTTACTCCAATCTTATTTCAACTTTGTCCAAGTTATTGTTTTGAAAATTACAATTGGGCATGCATGCTACATTCTGTCAAGGATTCCACAGCTTCACTGTGTGTAGCTAAGCTTTATGTGCATGCAGAAGGTACTTGCCTGCATGGCAAAGGGTTAATGAATGTATGTGTGGGCTGAAGAAGCGTCCTTTAGGTCATGGTTCACTCCCAGTGAGGTGTGAGAGATTAGGGATGGCTACTGAACTTTTGAGAGACCAGCACATAATGCATCATGAAATTTCAGCGACTCCTAAAGTTGGGAGGAGGCTTCCCTACTGCTGACTGACTCATATATAAAGGGTGAGGCAAAGGTTGTAACACATGACTATGACAGTCAATCTTATAAACAATCAAAACTTTCCTGTCCTAGAAAATTAAGTTCCTTCCTTACATATCTTATCCTGTTGTTTATATTTTTTGTTTTAAAAAGCCCAATGCTATTTTATATTCGAAAAACAAGCTTGTTAACATTAAATTCTCAAGTGTCAGAAAATGAAACAGTTAACATTCATGCACAGGCATGACTATTAAGTCTCATTTCAAGGCAGTATAGCATTCCTCAAATAAGCACTGGATTTACTATTAATACTGTTATAACATTCTCTTAATTTAAGAGTTTCAATTTACAAAGTCTCATTCTAGGCTGAGAATTCTGTGGTTGCAACTGGTAACTTTTATTAGCCATAAAAATCAGTAAGAAGGGCTAAATCCTCAAATCCATTCTCATTTAATACCTAAATTGAGGAAACTTTGCCTAATGAAAGTCTCCTTCCAAGATTTAGAATGTTTAATTGACCGACCACCTTGCATTTGGTAATATGTACTTCGTACTCCCTATACAATATTTTTATCAGACTGGATCAGTGTAATTTTATTTTAGCTTCTATTCTTTTATTATTTTTATTTAAAGAAACTACTGGAATCCAGAAACACATTTCTTCAGCAAATACACATTTTTTGGGAAAAATGTAGACTTTGCCCAGGCCAAATTGATCTAACTGATAAGGACCTCATGATTCAGTGAGTCATTTCTCTTTCAAACAAATATTTACTAGCAGAGATAACAAAAAAATCAGCATTCCAGCCTCACTGCATCTTTTCACCTTCTGCTGACAACACAAAGAGAAAGTGTTCAGTTCCAAAGATACATCCAGTTTTGGGGGAAGGGATGTGTGTCTTTCAAGACATGACTTCAATTCAGATTCCCTGAAATGATATATTCATTTTCTCAGCTGTAGCTAGGCACAGGTATTGCACAAAACCCAACATGCGAGTCTTTCAAGGAAGATCTTTAAACCCAATTTGCTGTAAATTCTACAAGAGACATATACAGGGAATCCTGTTGCACACGTAGGAGTTTGATTTTCTATACTTTCCAAATACTTACTTGCCTTTTTCATCTTTTCTGTCTTTCCCATCTGCTCAGGGAAAGCCTATGAATAGTTCACTGGCAGTTCTTATTCAATGGGCATCAGATAAAACATACTTTTAACCAGTGACACTCTCATACATTCCACACATGCAGAGGGACAAGGGAGCAAGTAAAATATTTCCTACTTACTTCTCTAACGGCTGGCTACCCCATTACCACTCAATTGCTAAACAATACCAGAGATTGTCTATACACATATGTAAACTCAAACCCAGCTGATGCTAGTGTCCATATAGACATTCTTTTTTCTCCAAAACTTTTTGAAGACTTTTTAGAACACACTTTTTCGGAACCTCTCTGAAAAGTGAAATTACTGAAAAATAAGATAAGTTTTGATCTCAAAGCACAATAGCTATTCTGCATCAACTGTGTCACTATAAGCTCTCAGTACACTTTATGGTAAATGTCAAAGCATCCAACCAGGAGCCCAGGCTCCTTCAATAATCAAGGGACAGAGAAAAGCTCTCTAGGGGGCAATACATCCTATATGAGATTGATTTTTTTGGTCTTCACAGGATGCTTTGTACTCTTAAAGGAATACAGGCTCTTAAATTTGGAACCTAATGTAAATTAGGCCGTGCTTAAGTGGGGCAAAGCTGACTTTTACTGCATAAAAGAGTATTTACATGGGGAAGAAGAAATATTCTATGCTGACCTTTCCAGGCTATCTTCCTACATTTACTTGCTTCAAATTTGCATAAAAAGTGAATGAAGCAACTTCACTAAAAGCCCATCTTTGTGCAGAAACAGAACATCCATCACATCCACATTAGTGCAAATGCCCTAACTCATTCTGAAAGCAAGTTTTTTCTACCCAGTGAAGCTCCTTTTAATCTCTTCCTGAACTAGAGAATTTACCAATGGTTAGTCTGATTCCTCCACATGGTTTTGTGTAAAATTAGGAGCAAAACAGTTCTAAATATAACTTGGAAATTTAGGAACAGACTCTATCCTGAATCCATACTATTAGGACAATCAAATGTTTTGCAACCTCATTGAAAGTATTATGTGACTTTGCACATACCTCTGATTTTCTTATGATCTGCAAACTGTTTCATATTCTGGAGTTTTTTGGTTTTAGTCTGTAGCTAAACCTACCTAGCAATTCTTTCTCACATGATGTTTCTCTTACTTTTCCATTTCTCTAGGTTGCCTTCTTAAAAGACTATCACATAGCAAAGTGAATGAAACAGTGCAGTTGGGAGCAGAATATGGCAAATACATTTGTCACTGTACCTGATGGGTATTGTCTTCCTGAGCCCATACAGTATTATGGTGAGTAAAGCAAAATTGTTATATTATGAAAAAGCAGTATAGTAAAATGAACATCTGTGGAGATTCCCGTAATTTTCTTCATTTTCGTTTATCTTTACAAGCTCTTAGAAGCTACACATTTGACTATCAAGCCCATACTGAAAGTGTATTGAAATATACTAGCATGTGCTCATACAGATTTTTGTACACAATGTGATTATGCTGACTGATCATTTCATATAAACATTACTGATGCTGTCTCGCTTTAACTTGCATGAAGAAGATACAGGTTTTATTACAGTATTCCAGATACATTATGAATAGATAATAGTTATTCTATGTCTTACAGAACTATAATTGCAATAACTAATTTGATTCTGGATGAGTAAAAGCAGGACCCACAGCCCAATTAAAAAAAACTCCAAACTGCTTAAAAAAAAAGCTTTCCAATTTGTTTTTACAGAGATTTGAACAACCCAAAAGGAAGAATGAAACATGATGCATGTTGCACAAGCTTTCTTCAATACAGCTGTGTACATTTAAGGGGGGGTTGGATAAAATTAAAACCCTACAGACAGAAAGGCAGGAAGAAGGTCTCTTCATAATTCTGTACATACATTTTGCTAAAGTGAAATTTCTTAACTGTAAAGGATTATATGTGGAAAAATACTAAATAAAACAAGCCTCTGCTTTTTAATCTACTGAATTTAAACTTTAAGACTCCTATCACAGTAATTTTTACCACTCTGTAATTTCTGGACCATGTTTCTCAGACTCTTGTGCGACATCTTCAAAATTATGCCTGAAATATGTATCAATACAAACATTCCACTCATTAATAAATTCACTTACTTACGGGAAAATACTCTTCTGTAATGTGGGCAACTAATAAAAACAACCTTTAAGTGTAAAATTAAAAGGTAACTATACCACCAGTTGGCAAGTGATATTCAATTACATACTGACAAGAATCCAGCAGCACCCACATGACATTGCCCAAACTGTCACCAAGCCATTTTCACTACATCTAAGATTTTACTTAAAAACATTACAGGTAGTACATTTAAAAATAATAGTACATTTAAATTTAATGTGTCAGACTGCCCTTCTGAAAATGTGTTCCTCTAATATTTATGATTACATATTTAATCTATAAAACATTTTAAAACTTTAAAGTAGCTGATGTCGAGATATTCTTCAGGTTTTTATTTCATTTTCAATTTCTTCTGTATCTAGATGTTTTACCGGAGCACATCAACTATCAGCTGCAAGACACCGATTTTCAGACTGCGCCTTACTGCCAATACTCAACAGTTCAAATTCCTCCCCCAGTATTACAGTCACAACCTTCTCAGTCCCAATACAGCACATATGGCCTGGAGTCCCAGTACAGCGACGGGCAGTGTATCATCGGCAGCTGTGAATTGAGCAAACCCCCTTTCATGGCTCCCCACATTGATGATGGTGGATACCAAGGACTAAAACGGCCAAGATTAAACCACTCTTCTTTGAGACTGAAGGGACAGGAGGAGCTGTGTGTTGTGTGTGGTGACAAGGCCTCAGGCTATCACTACAATGCACTTACCTGTGAAGGCTGTAAAGGTAAGAGGAGAACAGGCTGATCTGTGTCTTACCCCGGACAGTGGCCCCACAGTGCTCAACATAATGTTCCACATCTGTGATTTAAGCAGATTTCATTATTTTTTAAGTTGACGTTTCCACAGAGGATCGTAATTTACCTAAGGAACCCTTTATCTAACACACTTGCTACAGATTCACATTTTTATAACACTTTTTGAAGAAATGCTTTTACAGCGTGTATTTAATATGAGCATTTCATGCAACTGATTTTTGCATTGATTATTCACTAGAATAGTGTCTGTTTAAGCAGGTGCTGATCTTCTCATGACCATTTATTATAGATTTACTTCAGTGTTATTAATTTTACTTATTATTAGAATTAAATAAAAACAAGTAATAATTACTTGCTACTTATATTTTAACTTGTTATATGGGAGCTGTCTTGATCAGGTAGGGAAAACAGCAATTAATATTAGTCAGAAAGAACAAGACATAACTATATTGTTAAAATGCAAATTTGAAATCAAGGTAGTGTTTCCATTGTAAAAAAACCCAAAACAAACCCAAAGACACTTTAATTCTTTAAATCATTATGAGATAAAGCTCCTTAGATTCCTTCAGTCATAACCTGATCCTTGTCTGTAGGCTTCTTTCGACGCAGCATAACCAAAAATGCAGTATATCGATGCAAGAATGGTGGTCATTGTGAAATGGACATGTATATGCGAAGGAAATGTCAGGAATGTCGCTTGAAGAAGTGTAAAGCTGTGGGAATGCTAGCAGAATGTAAGTGCTCCTTCCATGCTGGCTACTTTACTAATCAACTGGGATAAAACTTTTTCCAAAGTCAATCCCTTCTCCTCATGAGAGATAAATGGTATTTGTCTAAACTTCATTTAGCTGTAGGAAAATTTAACTTTGGAGCCTGTAGCACCTGTAGCATCTTCATCTGCAGAAACCACCAATGCTGGGGAAGTATCTCCTGAAGTTTAGAAGACTGCTGTTCAAAGACATTACAAGAAAAAAAAGAAAGTACTAACAAGAGACAGCTAAATATCCTGAGCCTTGACAGGACAGCAGTAAGCATACAAAGATGTGCTTTTGTGTTTGGAAAAAAAAAAAATTAAAAAATTGCACAATAGTTTTTTGTGAAAAATTCTCACGCTTGTATGTCACAGAGCCACAAGCAAGATAACGTAAGATGACTGCAAACACTCAGGCCTTTGGTGGATACTGAACACTAACTCACCTAATGAATAACGCAATGCCATATTCTTTAGGAAGTGTAGTTCCTTATAGGTGATGGCTCCTGTGATGGAAGACTTGTGTTATCTATAAAAGTGATTATTTCAAATTGTAATTATTTGAAAATATATGCATTGATACACACTTCCATGCCTTGCAGGTTTGCTGACTGAAGTACAGTGCAAGTCAAAGCGACTCAGGAAGAATTTCAAACAAAAGAGCAGTTTTCTTTGCAACATAAAACTGGAAGATGAGGGACTGAATAGTAAGCATGTATCATCTACAACAAGATCTGGAAAAGTGGGATATTTTTCTATTTAAAATAGCTCTTATCATCATTTATTTTTGCCCTAAGTCATTGTCACTTGATTCGTTTATTTTTTTAACAGATCCCAGAGAAGATGGAACTTACACCAGGGGAACATCAGCTTCTTGACCACATTGTAACAGCACACCAAAAATACACAATTCCTCTTGAGGAAGCAAAGAAGTTTGTACGTATACAGAACAATCACCCTGCATTGCTAAGTTATTATTATCCTAAGCACTGTATCTTGGTTACATCAGATGTCTAAACACTCTTTCATGCAGCTACAAGAAACTGCAAGTCCTGAGGAAAGTTTTCTCCGTCTCTCTGAGACAGCAGTTGTCCATGTACAAGTGTTAGTGGATTTCACAAAAAGACTCCCAGGTAAGCTTCTTCCTTTGGGAAACATTACAGAATAGTGTGACTTTTTTTTTTTTTTTTTTTTTAAGAGGCAGAAACCATACTGATGGCATGAATCCGAGAGAAATACAGGCTTTAAGAAAACTCTCATTCAACCGACTGTTTTATCTTCCAACTCTAACAATCAGGCTTAGCATTTACTTGTCATGAGGACAAGTTAGAAGCATTCACTTCAGAAGCTTGCTATGATTAGATTTCTTTTCCATTTCTGACATGGAGTAGAGACATTTTCTGAAAGTACATGGACTTTAAAATACCATCTTGAGTGAATTACTATTTTAACACATTCTCTGAAATCCAGTTCAGTTTGCTATTTATTATAGTCCTCAAAGAAAAAAACAGATGTTCCTTCAAAGGAAAAGGCAGCACAGAAGGGTCTAACCAGGTGCTCCTATTCATATTTTCTTTTAATAAAGAACAAGGGAACATGCAATTAAACACACTACATTTCAATGTAAAGTTGACAAAATAACATTTGACAGGGAGAGTGATAATTTTTTCATTACTCTTTAAGTTGTAAAACTTATTGACAAGTCAATCAACATGTCTAAAGCAGGTATTTGATGTAATTTAGCACTACTGTTGAACAGATCTGAAAGAATGGATGAGCTGTTTGTTTTCTTATGTTACATATCCTGCTTTGATCAGGACTAAGAAAAGAATCAATAAAGTTCCTTTGCTCTTGAATTATAAGTGCAGATAATGAGTTTGTCAAAAGATGAACAAAATTTTTAAAAAGATCAGATATCAATGAGTCAGAATATCCACAGTCACTAAGCAGTGAAGCAAATTTATAAGGTATTAGGCCATGTGATATAAATCAGATACTAAGAAGAAATTTTTAATAAAGTCTTGCTTAGTCCCAACATTTTTACTTGTATCTTCCTGTGAATCTTTTCTAACACTGGACACCAACAACTGCACTTCTCCCCCTCCCCCAACTTGCAAACTAGCAAGAAGGACCCCAATAGTCTTTGGTATATGCATCTTTTAACTATGGCTCCTCCTTTCCAGTAAAGGCATTTATTAAAAAAAAAAAATCATTTTATCAATTCATGTTAGGGGCTTAAAGGCAGCCACAGCCTTCCTTGATTCTTAACATGTATCTTTCTCTGCAGGATTTGAAAGTTTAGCTAGTGAAGATCAGATTGCACTGCTAAAAGGGTCAACAGTTGAGGCAATGTTTTTGCGTTCAGCCCAAATATATAACCAAAGAATTAGTGAATGCCAACCATCAACAAGTGAAAGTAAGTTTGACTAACAAGCTTTCTATTAACACCAGTAGGAAGTTCTACCATTTTGAAACAACTTTCATTCATTTTAATTCACTTAAATAACTTCCTATTCAAGCATAGTGGTAATTAGAATAGTACTGGTAATGCCCACATACCTTTTCCAGCCTTTTTTTTCAAAGAGCATTAAAAAAAAAAAAAAAAAATTGATTGGATCTCTGTTTTCCTCCCATTGGTTCCAAACAAAGAGCAACATTTCTGAGTGTGTGCACAAATTGTGGGGTGGATGGATAATATTAGCTATATAATATATTGTGTCAAGTTTAACACAAGAGACCTTGACCAACAGTAATGCAACAAATGAACTTGGTGCTGGATGCAAAAAAGAACAATTTTTTCTGCCTGCATGGGTCTGGGAAAAATTCACACATTTTCAGGTATTCATCTACAAAGCAGATGCAGACAAATATTTAAAGTCACATTAAGCTTGGCCGTGAACTGTCATCTCTCTTGTTCCAGGTCACATAAGACTTTCTGATCATGGGGCATGCTGTCACGTTCAAAACCTTGATAAAAACAACATTTATTCCATGGAAATGTCTCACAATGAAGAGAGTCCAACTTCCACTACGACCACAGGTAATGGAGGTCTCAGAATCAAAATACTTGGGAATCTTCTGCTTTGCTGGCCCTGTTCTTAATCACACTGAGCAACACTGTTGGTGTGGCCACTGGTCATTCTCCCTCTCTCCTCCCTCGAGCTGCTTTGTTACATGCACAGGCATTACATCCTCATGGAAAGAAGAGGTGGTGTTCATGTTTGCTTATAGCCTAGGATAAAGCCTTGAGCTATGTGTATCAAAAACTCCACAGTACAACTACAATACAACTTTTGTTACTACTTTAGAAATTAACACTGTTTTCACAAAGTTTGCTAACTTTTTCATGTAATGGAACAGCCTGGAGCCTTAAAAGATTAGGACACAGATGATTTGTAATAGCAGTGCCTGTTTCTGCATTGAAATAACATTCTGATTATTTTATTTCATTTTTAAGGTATAACCGAGGAGTTTATTACCGCACTGTTTTACTTCTACAGAAGCATGGGGGAACTGAAAGTGACTGAGACCGAATATGCCCTGCTTGTAGCAACAACTGTGTTTTTTTCAGGTAAACTGGGAGGCGACTAGCTGTTAGGCGTGTTACAACGAGCTTTCACTTGCCCCAGGCGCTGCCCACCTCCACCCACCGAGCCCTCAGGTGCTGCAGCGCACCGCGCTCCCGCCCGCCGCCC